TTCTTACCGGCCGTGGGGCATTGAAGGGCAGTTAGGAATGAGAGAGTAGCCAGGGCACGATCACTCATGAAGGAAGAAAACCTTAAAAGCGAGGGACAGCCCTTCCAAAGGAGCTGAAGTGAAGCGGTAGCAAGAAGAGGAAGGAGCTTGGGAGCTGAACCAGATGGTGAAAATCAAGTGGAAGCTACAGAAAACTGCCCGGGTGAGCATAGTCCACCTGCAGCTTGTACAGTTACGGGATTCCAGGACACTTTCTTTGCTGCTCTTGCTTATAAGGGCTTCCATAAACTCTGTCGCGGTATGTCTGTCATTTGTATGCAAATAAATCCCTCATTCATCACACAGTGAGGATATGGAGAACAGGATTGGCTTTTTAGTTCAAAGGGACTAGTCAGACTTGTGCTTTGTGGACCTGTCACAGATTGTTCTGTTAGTGCTTTTGCTTCTATTCTCTTTCTTATGGTACGTCTCTGTAACGCAGGGGTGTCCGCTAATGGGCCAGGTGAGATACCAAATAAAGATGAAGCAAAAATTGAAGGATTGCATGTAAACGGACCTACCGGTGGCAAGAAAACACCTCACACGGATCTGGATACAAATGGGTATGAAACTGAAAACCTTTCTGTTGACCCAAAACTTGCTCATTCAGCTTCAAGAAATGAAAATGATTTTGAAGAAAAAAATGAGAGACCTCTAAAAAGAAGAAGAATTAACAGCAATGGAAAAGAGAGTCCAGGTTCTTCGGAGTTCTTCCAAGAAGCCAACTCGCATGGGAAGCTTGAAGAACTAGAAACTTTGGATGACTGAATCCTAGGAGCAGATTTTATTCCTTGGAGTAAATTTTGGGTGTCTAAAATTTTCAGGGTTGATGGGTTACCTTACAAAATCCAGTTCCGTAAAACAATCTGCTGAGATTTTTTTCCTAATACCTTTTAGTTGGCTCTTAAGATCTGATTATTTGATTTTTTTCAGTGCTGAAAAGCAGTAGAATGTTCCGTTTCTCAGAGCTGTCAGCTGTAGTTCTGGGAAATCTGGCTCTTAAAAATATTTGAGAAACAAATCAGTGAATTTCTGCAAAAATATTCCCAGCCTAACACATTAATGAAAATTCCGTGTGTAATACACTATTTAAGCATTGTACAAGTGAACAAAGCATCCTATTTGAAGCAGGGGGCTGGTTCAAATGTTGCAGGAAGTTAAAATGAAATCCAGAATGCCGA